TTTTTGCGAAACTGGGGATTGAACTCTGGCCCTTGCGCTTGCCAGGCAAATGCTTATTCTACTGAGCCATCTCCCCAGCCCAAGGACAGAATCTTAATGCTGTTAGAGAAAAGCAATGAACCATTTATAAAGGTAAACCCATCAAAATTATAGTTGACTTCAAAACACAAACCTTTAAAGCCAAGCAAGTTTGGAGTGAAGTGTTTTAAGTCCTAAAAGGAAACAACTTCCAACCAGACCATCAGATCTTACAAAACTAGCTTTCAAAATCAAAATAAGGTTATTATAGGTCTGTTTCACAAAGGCAACTCTCAGTGGAATAACACTGGACCAGAAAACTAGGCCTCAGGATCTACCATCCTTGGGACCGGCGAGAAAGCTCAGTGAACTAAAGCACCTGCTTAGGCAAGCTTAGGCAAGTGCAAAGACTGTGGTCTGATCCCTGGTACCACAGGCCGTGCCAGCCCTGCCCCCAGGGTGGGCTGAGCAGGCCAGAGTCTGGGCAGGCGTGGTGGTGCACATCTATAATCCCAGCACTGGGGAGGCTAAAATCAGGAGGATCACTATGAGTCCGAGCTGAGTAGTGAGACCTTAGAACAACCAAATACATTTTTTAAAAAAGGATGTAGCATCTTCATCTGCTAAATCTAACTAGTATTCTCATTCATTCTGCCTAACTACAGGACACTTCAAACTCAACAGGCAAAGCTGAGCTCATTTTTTTTTGTTCAAACATTTTCTTTGGGGCTGGGGAGATGGTTCAGTAGAATAAGCGCTTGCCTGGCAAGCGCAAGGGCCTAAGTTCAATCCCCAGTTCCACCAAAAAAAAAAAAAAAAGAAAAAAATTCTTTGACCAACATCCCTTTCCCTACTTAACAACAACATCATCTATTTAGCCACTCAAGAGAAAACTAGAGTACTCTTTCCTTAACTAGAGTTAATGTTCTAGAAGTCAAGGCCTGGCCTATTCTTTTCAATTCTTTTTTTTTTTTTTTTTTTTGTTCTTTTCAATTCTGTAATTTCATGCTTAATACCACACAGCACATTCTCAGCAAGTATCAATTATGAGGCACTTAGCTTCCCAATCTGTTCTTTTGGATATCCTTATAAAGTTCATCTTGGATTATTGGAGATCAGCTCTATAACAGCACTAGCACTATCTTAACCTTTTTCACATAGTGACAGAGTGTTTCTATGTTCCTAATTTTAAAATGTCAGTGTCCTCTTATTTATCCTGTTTACTCTCATAATGCTGACAAATCACTGTGATCATACACCTTAAAGTTTTATGAGTGTATCTCACTGTCACAGCTTACCTTCAAATCCAACACGCTCAAGCAGGTTCAGTGGGTACCAAATTAAAGGTTTGTTCCCAACTGGAAGCAAAGGTTTGGGAATGCTGGAAGTCAGGTCTGTCATCCGAGATCCCCCACCAACTGCCATCACTACTGCTTGAAATTCCATTATTTATAAACTGCAAGTATAGAAAAAAAAATCAACAGTAAAAAAAGTAACAATACTAAGCTATTTTTAGTTACATTACTAAAATGCACTTATAAACATCTTTACCACACTCTGACCAACACAGGCTCTCAGATCCATCCTTGGTAAAAGTGTGGGAGAATATAAGTGAAAGATCCTGGCCCTTGCCCTTGAGTTGTTCATCATTAAGAGGAGACAAATTCAATAAATTACAATATACCATCATTAGTGCCATGTCAGAGGTATGTCCACGATACAGTGGGTGTAGTGCAAAGGAAATACATAAATCTTGCTAGGAAACATAACAGTTTTATAGGAAAGTAAAGTCCAAATTCACTGTGAAGATGTAAGAGTTTACCAAGTGGATTTCTAATATGTGAATTTTTGTTCCTTAAAAACTGACTAATAGAAACAAGCATGTTAGGCCTTTGAAAAGTACAAAACTGACTTAAGATTCGAATCTCTAATGATTCAGCCATCTACTCTTCTCATCATTCTAATTGTGAGAGAGATCAGTACAAACACAAATGTAATCTAAACCTAGGATTTACAGAACCCAATTACAGAAACATTTCAAATTGTTAATTATTTTTTTCAAAACAAGGTAATAAAAGAACCTATTTGACCATGAAAAGAATCTCTTTATAACAGCTACCACAGAACAGAGATACAGTGAAAGGTCATAAATGTTTACTAATTTAAACTGAAAGCAGTCTTCTTTGCTATACAACAAATGTTGGAATAATTTTAACACATTTGTCAGAAGAAAATCTAGGGTCAGGGAGATAGCTCAGTAGAACAAGCGCTTGCCTGGCAAGTACAGAGTCCTGAACTCAATCCCTGGTACTGTGATGATGATGATGATGATGATGATGATGATGATGATGATGA